CGCGGCACGGAGCCAGCAATGGTACCTAGAGGCACACACCGGACCGAGTGCACAAGAGACCCTCCTGAACCGATCTTCCCTACCACAGAAATGAACGCAAGTAAGAACGGGAGTAAACTTACGATTTAGCGAGTCTCCACTTGATTACTGGTAGTAAAGCCGACCTGAAGCCCCAAACAAGCGGGGGGGGGGATCCCCATCCCGAACATACTGAGTTAAAGCGGGAGGTGAGGGTGGCTTGAAAAGAGCAAATGGTGATGGAGTGAGGTGCAGATTAGCAACAAAGCAATATTTCCAGACTTAAAGAGGCCTTAAGAGACTTTTAAAGACTTCCTACTAAGTAAAAACAATGACGCAGCATGCAGAAAAAATGGTGGCGAAAGCAAAACTTACAGGAGCAGCCAGCTCATCGTCTCCAGTTACCAAATTGGAAACAGCCACAGACTTCCCCAAAATGATTGCTGCAGCCCTGCACCCTCTAGTGGACCAGATGACCATTCTCAACCAGAAAATGGGTATGATGTACAAGGAGCTTCAAGATACTTCAGCAAAAACAGAGAAGATAAATAAGAAACTGAAAAAAGTTGATCTTAAGTCCAAAAAGTTTGAACAAAGACTGGAGGTAGTGGGAAAAGATAAAATCTCTGAGAATCACCAATTGCTATCCCTCCAAATGGAAAAATCAGCATATGTTCTGAGATTTCAGAACATTTCTGAGCAGAAAGGTGAAAACCAGAAAGAGATTTTAAACAAAGAACTGGCCCCCCGTGGTAGGCTTAACAGCAGAAGCGATACAAAATGACATGTATATAGTATACCATACATATCCAGAATATAAAAAGAAAAATAAGCTGCTCAGGGAAATATTGGTTAAATTCTCAAAAAGGTCAATAAGAGGCTTAATCTTGAAAGCGACAAGCGGAACTCTTTTGAAAAGCCAAGGAGAATGAACTAAAATTTTAAAAGACATTCCATTTGAGATCAGAAAAAGAAGACAGTACAGAGACCTGGCACAGTTTCTCCAAGAACACAACACCACATACAGATGGTTAACCCCGGAAGGGCTTACTTTCAACTTCAACGGCAAAAAAGAAAAAACTGACTCTGTCTTCAAAGCGAAAAAATTTCTTGAGCACCGACAATGTTAAAGATGAATCTGAGAAACTGGAGGACGACAAGGATGAAGAAAAAGAAGACAAAACTGAGGAAAGTTCTACCAACTCTTCGTCAGCTGAATCCTTAGATTTTGAAGCAGAACTAGGGGATACGGCTCTTAAGCCCCCCAAAAATAAAAAGGACTTTGAAATGAAACGTAGAGGAAGGAAATAAGTAAAATAATGAAACTCTAATGGTCTGATAATTATCAGGAACTAATAACCCTAAACTAAGAAGCATACACTCTAACCAAATTTGTTTGTGAACACTCGCTCAATCTTCTATATAACTATTGTATTAACTCTCATGCATTACTACTTTGACAATAGGGAATTATCCTTACTTTAAACAATTGTATTAACAATCTCTTGCTACTCGTAGTTTTAGTTTGTTCCCATCCCCAAACCCTATAGGTGTGTAGTTTAGAAAAGCAATAAAAATGTTTTTAATAAAAAAAGGAAGGATGGCTCCAGAGCAAACTAATTTATGCAGTAGCCAAATTGCTCGTTCACAACTTTAATGCCAGTAGCTCACAAAGCAAAACGTTTGCTCACAAGACTCCACAGCTTAGAGGGAGCGTTGCTCTCCAGTATGCAAATCATCATACATCTTCAGCAAATTCATCCATTTAACTGCAAACAGACAGTTCATCATCCCAATTTCTGTTAGCAATTGTCTCTGTTAGTTTGGGGAGGATGCAGTGGGTGCCCACTGTTTGACCCACTGAGCTGTTCAGCATGGCTTGCTCCAGGGCCGTTTTAACTTCCCTGATCCCTCCTGTAGCATGATCTACTTTTTAAAATGAGGGAATCTGAGACTCAAGTATTTTCCAAATTAGTTTTTATTCTTATTCTATTCTACACTGCCACCTTGTGGTATGCTTAAACCAATTAAGCTTGATCTATTTCATCCCAAGGATCAAAATATCAATAAAACAGCCAGAATTTTACTGTTTGTTTTACATTCATAAACTCATACTTATGCCTTGTTTATGATTTTCTAATGCATTTAGCTGCCAGATTCTCCATGAAATACATTTTATGTAAGCTGGAAATTATTTATATAAAATATAGCGTACATAAATAAAATAAGTCATGTCCATTAATGATATTTTAACAGCTGGATAAATCTAACTTGGCATCAAATATTTAAACCAGTTAAAGAAAAAGAGAGTAAAAATAACCCTATAACATCTAACTATTTAAAACTACGCATCCTGTTCAAAAATATTTTCTAATTTTCCTTTTTTACTTCCTGCATCTTAAGTGAATAAAGTGAGCTAGTTCACTGGATGCTCTGTAAGTCTGCCAATTTTAGGGTTATATCATATAAAGCTACTCAAGCTCACTCTTAAGTTGAGCTAAACCCTTCTTAGTGCCAGACCATGTTAAATATACTATGTGATTGCCATGGAGACTTGCAGCAGGACACCAGCTGTGAGTTCCCTGTGGAAACTCAATTTAAGTACTGCAGTGTCACGATTTGGATCAGGACCATGACACAGAGAGGAGGAGTACCTACCTTCCCCTCCATGCCAGTTTCTTGCCTAGAAATGGCCCTGGGGGCATTATTTCCATCATCTGGGAGTAGCACATGAACTAAGTGGTTTGCACATGCAGCCCATAATGGGCAAACAACACCCCAGGGCCATTTCAGGTAGGAAACAGCATGGGAGGGAAGACAGGAGCCCTTCCACTCCTCGGCACCATGATCTCAATCTGAATTGGGTCCCTGCAGCACTTCTGCATTGCGCTCCCGTGGGGAATTAGCAGCTGCCAGATGCCTGCAAATTGAAACAAGCAAATGGTATGCATAGTGTGTAGTTTGGACCCTAGTCCTCTGACTTCAACTGACTTAGATTAGATTAACTCTGCTTCAGTTTAACTGAAACTATGGCACTTTCTTCTGGCACAACAAGCTTCCACTGACACAAGACAATATTTGTCTACTGGATATATTTAGTAAGCTTCCCAAAGTTTTCCAGATGAATTAGAAAGCATGAAGATATACACAACTGGGTTAAGGGCATTCATTAGCATTTCTTCAAGCACATCAAAGTTCGGGAAAAACCAGCCCTGCATAAGTGAGGCAGGAAGCAATTGTTTACTTTTCTGATTAGTTAGAATGGTGACATCTTGAAACCAGACACACCCCTAGAAGTCTTTTCCAACTATCTTAAAACTGATGTCCTTTTCTTTTTGTGTATTTTCAGCAAGTGGGGAAGTGACTGCTCAAAAAGAGCGTGGAAGTGCTTAAAGATGGGACAGGAATGCATTCCTAAAGTTTTCCTTGTCATACTAAACTGTGGTAATGAAGGTGCAGTGAGACAAAACAGAGTGTGGCTTAGATGCCCACTGACGGCACAATCCTGAGCACCTCTATTCAGAAGTCAGTCCTATTGTGTTCAATGGGGCTTATTCCCAAGTCTGCAAAGTTTTAAGGCATGGGACATGTTTTCATGCATACATCCGTCTGACAAATGTAGGGGCAGAGGAAGGGAACAAATTTAGATATTTATTAGGTTACTAATACATTTGTTTTTTTCTTGTTCTGTCTTGGGAGCATGACAATGTTAATTAAAAAATTCTACTTCTATTCTTTTGTGGGTTTCCCACACTATTCCCAGCCACTGCTTCCACGAAATGACCATTTGTTCCTGCTTTGGTGTCAATGAGGGATCATATAATGAAAATGATGATGCAGCAGCAGCAGGATGGGCTACACTATAGTGTTGACAGTGTCACCAAGGGCCTAACTATATGTTATGATTTCTTTGCCTCCTCTCTTGATCCCTGGTGATCAGACATGTGCTGTGAGTTCTCAAAACTTATGATGGCCAATTCAGGTCAGGACAACAGTGAACATGGGGAGATGGCTTAAGCCTTTCCCTGTGCCATTTTCTCAAACTGAAATGGCCCCAGGAGGAAGTAGCTGACCTATTGGGAAAACCATGTGTTCTGATGGGCTCCCACAAGTTTCCACATTGTGGCAAATAATATTGTCCCCTGGGAACAATAGCATAAAGGGGGGGGGGAACTCTCACCCCGATCCAACCATTGCCATGGATAACTGAAGCAAAGCATGTTTTGGGATAGGCATTCAGATGCATATATGAATTTACATTCTAGTAAAGAAATGATCTTGCAGATAGATGACATCTATATTCAGAAGCCAATGTAGATGTCATCCACTTACATTGCATTATTATCAATGGGATGTGCCTATAATCTGTGCATTTCTATGCATATTCTGATCCAAATAGGCAATTACATGGGATAAGATGGTATGGACCTTGCCAATGGGGATGCATTTCCTGTTCCTCTGAATATTTACTCGTGATCAGCAATGCTTCCTCTAAATTGTGGAGTCCTGTGAGCAAAAATTCTACTTTGTGAGCTACTGGCATTAAAGCTGTGAGTGAGCGATTTGGCTACTGCATAAATTAGTTTGCTCTGGAGCCATCCTTCCTGAGCTAAGACAAAAATGTGTGAGCCGGAGGTAAAAAACTGTGAGCTAGCTCATGCTAACTCGGCTTAGAGGGAACACTGGTGATCAGATACCTATCTCCTCACAACCTCCATACATCACTATCATTGAGCTACAGCAGTCATTCACCTCTTAATTTTCATGTGCAGACAAGACTATCCCGTTGCAAATTATTTCTATTGTGTAATTAACAACCATATATGGACGCAGTAAAAATGAACAAAATGTTCATGAATTGCCACACATACACACACACATACATTTTGACAAAGCCACCTTGGGAACCTTGTGTGGAAAGACAGGGTAAAGCATAAACAAACATGATAATGTGTTATTGTTTACATCTGTGGAAAAACTACCTATTTCAACAGGCAGATCTGTAATCTTGTTACTGGATAACTGTAGTATCCTCAGCTCCTGAAATAGGGCAATGTAAGCTGGAATGGTTGTGATCTTGGTATTGTTTACATGCCATTCTTTCAGATGCGTCTGTTCCTTCAATGAATCTGGAAACTCCTAAGAAAATATAACATTTCACACAATAAGGCCTTGATTTCGAAACATTGCCAAACAATTTTTTTCAATATTTTTGGACAAGCCAAATGCAGTGAAGATAAATTTTAAAATCCTATTAAGTTCCAATCACATTTTCGGGGGGGGGGGGGGAAAGGGGGGGAACTGATGGTTTTTTTTAAAGTCCTCTATAACAGCATTCCACAGCCCTAAGAACCATTTTTCTAACTTGCCCGTAAATTTATCAATAACGAATTAGTTATGACTTATGCCTTTCTCAATAGATCACCACTCTTTCCTTCAAAATACACAGTTCTTGCCTGATCACTGTTTTCCTGTTTTTCTAGGAGAAATGAAGCAGTTTACTCACAGTACACTATTCATAATGACCAAGAAACGTGTACTGTTTACACAAAACATGCAAGCTTATAAGAACATAAGCAGAGCTTGCTGGATCAGGCTAGTGGTCCATCTAGACCAGCATCCTGTTTCACACACTGGCCAACCAGGAACCCTGGAGGGCAAACAATAGAACATTATACCACAGGAATTTTTAAATAATAAATCTCAGTATGAGATGACATTTCTGTGTCAATTTCATGTTAACCTGCTTGTAAGGCTGTGCTCCCATGATAGAAAAAATACAATACCAGGACTTCCTCCTTCTTAGCCCCCACATTGTCAAGCCTGGCACCTACCAGGCCCAGAGGTATCACAGATGTACCTTGTAAAGATCCTCAAACCAGACAGATGATCAGTGGTGGCTGGACTTTTAACAGCATTGATAGCTGGCCCTTTGACTTTTGGGAAGCTCCACCCTTTGCTCAGAAGGCACTATTGGTCCCTCAGAGGCTTGGCCACACCCCATAGGGCTTCTGGGTAGAGGAAGGCCAATGAGCATGCCCCAGGCCTAGGTGGGGCTTTTAAAAGACTTGAGAGAGGAGGCCAGTGAGGACAGACCAGCTCTGGCTCCTGGCTCAGAAAAGAGTAGAGCTAGAGGTGATGAAATAAGGTAAAGTGCAACCCCTGCCACTGGAATGGCAGAGTTGTCTGAGGCAAACGGAAGGTGCTTCAGCCAAACTGGACCCTGGTGCATGACAGCTGGGGTCTGGAATTCTACACAACTAAAAAACTTGCTTTTATTGAAAAGTAACAGTGACTTTTTCTTTCACTGAATTCTCATAACACATCATAAGAAGTTATACTTATAAGATTTTATTGAATGAGTTTTGCCTCTCTAATATTATTTCAGGTGGTTGGAACTAGCAATTTCAATGAACAATTTTTAAAAATTAATAGTAATTATTAGACTTATTCATAAGATTTTTCAAAAAACAAGAATGGTGCAAACAGGTACACAGCTCTGACCTTTTACACACTTTGTGATGCTTCCCTAGAACTTGGTACCTCTCCACCTTTTGCTGAGATTCTCAAAAACATGACACTATGCTTTCCCCCCTCTAACCTACATTAACAAACAGAACTGAAATGACTTAGTATAAAACAAAAACTAGCATGCTATTTCTAAAAAATGCTAACACAAAACTGATGGTAGAAAAATAAATTTAAAAAGGAATAAAAAGAAAAAATCATGTTAAAGAGCACTAGAAAAGATATTATAAATGACTTTTCAGGCTTGTGCTTAGTCCTATGCATATATGGCTATACTCTGCCTGAAACACAAGATGATATGCAATATTAGTGTTTGCTTTACAAACCAGTTTATGAGAGGAACTAAAATTTACACAGGCTTCATTTTGCCTTTGCTCTCTGATTCCCTCATGATCTTCAGTAACCTTCAGCCACAGTACAGAAGCCAGCAGGAAGTGGATAAATTGCTTCAAAAGATAGCACTAGAATATTCCAGTCTTCATCTTTAACAGCAAGACAATAGGGAACTCCACATTTCTAAGGTATACAGGGAAGATATTCTGTCTACAAATTTACAATAGGTTGATTCTTTACCATAAAAGAAGCAACCACCCAGCATTACATGTATTATTTGAACTTAAATATTATTACTTACAATATGTATTGTTCTTAATAGCTGGGTGCTATATAAAGTATTAAAACAGTAAATCCCTATATGCTATGTAACAATTAAAAAGAACAACATAGTAAAGGAAGGGATACATAAAAGAGGGGAAGCAATTAGGAATCAGAAGCATGAGAGAAGTAGTATGTTTTCAAATATTTCAATAATGGTAGAGAAGGAGGGTGCGTTCAGATGGGAAGCTAATCCCGCCATTATGCCAGCTCAAATTTGATCCCGATCTTTTTAATCCGTCCTTACACAACCAGACATCCCCCGGGGGAATCGCCTTACCGCACACGCTGCTTCTGCTGTGGATTGTCTAGATGGTGTCCACTGAGAAAGGCGTGCGCAGTGGGGGGGGGGTTTAAAAAACTTTTTGCACATGCTCATAGGCGTGATTGCATGTCCTTGTAGATCCGCGCGTGCGCAGAATCAAACGTTCAAAGCACCACATGAGGGACACGTAGCCATAATTCCGACCAACAGGACAGCCCCAGCATGACCAAATTCTTCTTTTGTTTTCTATTCTGACCCACGCTTGCAGGGCTGGACTAAACAAGTCCCGGCCATCCCCCTTGCCATTGAGATCATGCTCACTGGAGGGACTATATTGCATGTCAAAAGACCCATCCTCCCTCCAGCTCCCATCCCATTAACTGATCGTCCTTAAACTCACGGGTCATTCAAAACATTGAAGTGTTCGTGGCGCTAGATCGGGTGCCATTTTCCCTGCCCTAGACCTTTGCCATGACCATCAGGAAGCTTTTAAGCTTTTAAAAAAATTGTTATTGCAAAAGCATTATATTGGTCTCATGTTACAGCGATCCATCCCTAGCTCCTCTGAATTCCCACCTTCCATTTTTTTCATTTTTTTTGAAAAGTCAATAGCCTCTTTCATTGTGAAGAATAAGATGTGTGTGTGTATTATATTATATATAAGACACATTCTCAGCAACAAAAAGAGATAGAGATTTTAAAAAACAAGCTAGGAATTCAGAGGACCTAGCAGACAGATATGTTATAATGATCAAGTGATTTAGCAACTTCCAGTTTTAAACACACACACCAATGATGCAGGGTGGAATGACAATACTGGGGGCCTTGGGGAGGGAAAATACAAGTAACCTGCCATGAGGAAGCCCTCCTGCCACCGTGCTTAATCAGCAGCTGCAGCGGCAACGAAAAAATCTCAGGTTTTTGATGTGGAAATAAGCCACGACATAGACTCATTACATGTGACCCGGAAGTAGTGAGTGACTTGGGAAGGAGCCACATTACAGAAGCTGCCAGGATACTAGAGGTTATGCGGAAAAGATTACTGGAAATTCCCTGAGCTTCATCCTCATGATGAACAGCAGAGGGTGGAATCTGTTGGATAGAAGAAAACATTAATCCACCAAGGGGAGTGTGACAGCTCAGGTCATTTCACCATCAGAAGAAATAAGATACAGAAAACCAAATCAGTCAAAACATCAGTCCGCAGCTTGTGCTTTTCAGTGCAACTAAATGACAGAATCGCACTACCCAAGTATTCCACACATCCCAATGTTATACTTGTGGTGAACTTACCATCCAGTCCTCCCCTGAAAGTTGAAAAATAAACTTGTTTCTTTCTTTCTCTGTTTTATTCAATAAGGCAATCTTCTTAAAGAGCAGTGAGTTCTGTTCAAGCTTATCCAAAATGCTGTTAGTATCTATGAACCCATTCTTCAGATATGCAGCTTGCGGAATGCCTTTTCTTCTGCACTCTTGCATAACGTCCCATTCTTGCCTTATCCTGAAATAGTACAAATGAAAGCATTTCTCTCACTCTTTTAAAGAATTGTAACAAAGGGATGTTTGAATGAAGGATTCATTCAGTATCCCAAAGAGCTTGCACAATGTACAACGGTGCCACAACAGACCGAGAGTGCTTTACACAGCAGGTGCAGATTCAGCCTATGTTGCATAATTATGTTTGTATTATCCAGCTTCTTTCAAAGGGAAGGAGAAATAAGCTATCCTTTTCTGGGGGTTTTTCTCCTTTTCCTGGAATTGTTTTCTGTTGCTCTTTCAGCAAAAGAATTAAAGAATTATCTGTGACTGAGCATCCCAGCTGACCATATAAAGGCAGGGTGCTTACTCATGAAATGAGTTGCTGATGGGGAGGGAGCAAACGGCTCCTTCAGATGCCATCTGAGAGACACTTAGGCACTTGAGATTTGCATGGAATGGCAGGTTGAAACTACAACAAGGAGAGCCACCCCTTGCTTTTCAAAGGATGCTGCCTTAGCAAAGTAAGCCTCTGTGTTTGTGGGCTTTTCTGCACCCACCTGTTTCCCCGCTGTTCTTCCAGAGCCGTTAATTAACCTCTGCATTGCATTGTGCTTTCACTTTCTGTGTGTGTTGAATCTTTTTGGAGCTTCTGCATACTTTTATGGTGACTTCGGGGTGAGTATGGTGTAGCCCCGGGGTGCCTAAAAGTGTTTTTGCTGCAAATTTAAAGACTGATCCGCTTCTGAGTCAGAGGTATCTTACCTCAGACTGTGTGACACCGCCCATGTCTCTGGCCGTTTCCACCCCTTTTTCCACCCATCCTTTCTTTTGTCACATCTCCCCCAAGTTTGATTTCTCCCACTTTGCTCCCTCTTGGCTGATGGCAGAGGGAAACAAAAGGCTAGGCTTCTCCCCCCCCCCCAATATGCACATTGGACCCTAGGGATCTTTTCCCTTTCCCCAAAGCCAATCTGCACACAACTTGGGAGGGCAGGCAGAGGGGCAGCCCAGGGAGGTCCTCCAAGAGTTTGATGCTTCTAATTACATGGGGGGGGGGCATTTGACACACTCCTCCCCCCCCCTTTGCACATCAGACCCTAGGGAGGGATCTTTTCCCCCTTCCCCAAAGCCAATCTGCATACAACATGGAGGGCAGGTAGTGGAGCAGCTGGGGGGGGGTCTGCTATGAGTTTGATGCCTCTAGTTTGCAGGGGGTGCATTTGACACACTCCTCCCCCCCCTTTGCCCATTGGGCCCTAGAGATCTTTCCCCCTTTCCCCAAAGCCAATCTGCACACAACTTGGAGGGCAAACAGAAGGGCAGCCCAGGGAGGTCCTCTGCGAGTTTGATGCTTCTGTCTTGCAGGGGGGCTGTTTGACATACTTCGCCCCACCTCCTCTGCACATTGGACCCTAGGGAGGGATCTTTCCCCCCTCCCCCAAAGCCAATCTCCACGCAATGTGGAGGGGGATGTGTTAAAAGAAATGATAGGATTGCCCATTGGAAACAATGGGAGAGAATTGAAGGCCCGTTTATTTATTTTTTAAATAAAATTAAAACCCTTGGGATGCCACCCCTCCCAACAGACCAGCCAGCCAGCCACTGAGCTTGCATCCCTCTATGGGCCGTGCATGCCTGGAGTAGTGCAGCAGCTAGCCAAAGGGGGTGGGAGAGCGGGGGGGAGAGGAGAGAAAGGGGAGGGTGCAGTGTGCCCCATCTCTTGCTCACACACTTGATCAAGTTGGTGGAAATTGGATGCCCCCTCCAGAGGTCACAAGTGACATTAACCACAATTAAGCAAAATATGTGGGGTTTGATTATAGATGCAGAAACTGGAGAAAAAAAGAATAGTGCAGAGGGCAGGGACACAAAATACGAAGTTAACCTTAGAAGCTCAACTGCTCTGATTCTCCGGAGTAAGCTACAGTGAGCTGTTAGTGCAGAAAGGGCCTGTGTGTCTGGGCAATTACAGCAGAGGATTAGAAGAGAATGCTAGCCAGATGTTCTTCCTAGCACAGTGTTTGACACTGAGTATAAATGAAAGAACTTTAAGGCTCTCAGTGTGGTATTCCTTACTGAAAGTGACTTTGCAAATGAAGTTACTAATGTGAACCAGTAAAGATCACCAGAGCTACAGGGAATTCACATGAGCAAGACAACGGCGATTTTGAGAGGTCATCCAGACATTACCGTGAAAAGGTACAAAATGTCAGACTAATATCCCAGAATAAAAATAGACTCAGGAGAGTTAGGCATGTGTCTTCTCTGTGAGCCTTCAATAAGCAAGCTCCCTTATAAAAGTTATTTGTTTCTGAGGAGAAAGAGAGGACAAGAGGCAAAATGAAGAGAAACTAAAAAAAACACAACCACAAAATCTATTGAAATACGGGGAGGAATTCCATATAAAATCTAACAAAATTAAAAGAAATAAATTGCATTTGGAAGGACACAAATAAAAACAGCTTGGATTTAGACAAGGTCATAAGTTAATTAAAGAACAGTAGTTTGGCTTGAACTCCTGGCTTACTATTATACAACCCTCAGGAAAAGAATCTACCTCCTAAAGACCGTCGGAACAAGTGTTGGAATGTAGTTGCCTGGTCCATAGGTAGGGTTGACATGTTCCAGTTTTGAACTAGACAGTCCTGTATTTGCCCTTTCTGTCCAACAAATCAACTGAGAAAATACCGGGCATATAAATGTCTGGTATTTTCTAAGTAAGTCAGCATGCAACCATAACAGCCAATCTCCATACATGAGCTCTTTTTCCTCTGCAGCTTGAAAAACGTGTGACACCCCTTCTGGTTAAACCATAGAGCTTTGCCCAAATGCCAAAACGTCCCCAATGATGTGCTGACATCACTTCTTGGAACACAGGAAGTGATGTTAGCACATCACCAGTGATGTCATTATGCTGGCAGCAACATGTTGCCAGCAAGCCCTCCTCCCGGTAAGATCTGCTGGTTGCCGGGGGACCTATCAATTTATGCACGGGAGCCTAATTTGGATCAAAACAACAGCATGTGGGGAGAGGGCTTAAGCTCTCCCACACACACCACTTTCGCAACCTGAAGCAGCCCACAAGGAGCCACTATTTTCTCCCTCTGGGGAATCTTATGTGTACTCATGGCTGGGGCAGGGTGGACATGAAAACAATGCATTGTATCATTGGGTGCTCAAATACATTTTTCCAAGTAGATTTAAATGAGGAAGGGGTAGAAGAGAAAGCCCGCTATTTTCCCCCACTGGAAGTCCTTCCCACACCAGGGAAACCCTGCTTTCTACTCTTCACAAACCACCATGAACTGCATCAAAATTCATGAAAGTTTGTGGCAGTACTTCAGTCCACCAACCACAAACCACCCAAAATTTGTAATAAACTTTAGTTCATCAGCCCGTTCATGCCCATCCCCACCCTCCTCAAGTCTCCCACTGGTTGTCAGGCCATGTCTGCCAACCCTATATGCTCCCTTTTTCATTTTTTAAAAAAGTCTCCACTTTGTTGTTGTTGAGGAGGAAATAATGGAAAATGTGCAAGCAGTTTTTGCCCAGATGGTTTGAAAAGGAATGGAAGAGGGAGAGCTGATAGACAAAGGGGCAGGGTTAGGTAACCTTTTACTGCCCCAAATTCCTACCTGCTGTATTCTATAACTTTTTATCCCTGGGCCCTTTTTTCATCATTGTTTCTGTCCTCTTTAACAACAAAAGGGACAAATTATAACAACTGACAGAAAACTGAAGTGAGAGTTGCAGATACAAAACCACAGTGCAGTGCAGACGCACATAAAGAAGGCAGGCAAAAGCAAATTTAATTAACTCAGAGATTCTAGTAATGGCATTACAGATTTAAATTTGTATCAGTATTCAGTCAAAAATATTAACATTTCATGAAAATCAAATTTCAGCAGTGCTAAAGAAGTGTCTTGTATCCTAGCTTCCTTTTCTGCTTGCAAAAGATTTTCAGGCAGCACCTGGAGATTTCCAAGATCAGTTCTCCTGGAGAAAATGGATGCTTTGGGCAATGGACTCTATGGAATTATACCCTGCTGAGGTCCCTCTGCACCCCAAACCCTGCCCTTTCCAGGCTCTACCCCTCAAATCTCCAGGTCTGGCCCTCCCCTTAGTATTGCCAACCTCCAGGCAGCACCTGGAGATCTCCAAGATCAGTTCTCCTGGAGAAAACGGCTGCTTTGGGCAATGGACTCTATGGAATTATACCCTGCTGAGGTCCCTCCGCACCCCAAACCCTGCCCTCCCCAGGTTCTATCCCTCAAATCTACAGGTATTTCCCAACCCAGAGTTTGCAACCCTGTAACTGGCTATGGAACCGTTTTCCAGACCTTTGGAACCCAGAAGACATGGCATAGGAGGAGGTGCTTTTCTACCTTAGCTGTCACTGCATAACCCCAAATCAATATAAGTCAGGGGTGGAGGGAACCATACCTGTTACCATAAGGCTGTCCTCCTATACTACCCACTTGGGGCAGCAAAATGACTTGAGACAGCCCTACCTTATAACTAAGCAGAAGGAAAGAAACATGGCTTGCCTCCCTCTATTTTCCCCTTCCCTCTGCCGCCCCACCAGCCACAGCTGGGACACTCACCTGGAGCTTCCTTCTGGAGCTCATTGTATTTCTTCCCACAACGAGCCTTACTCCTAGTTTATTTATAATAATGTATGTCCTGCCCTTCTACTTAAACAGTACTCAGGGAGACTTACAAGAAAAGAATCAACTTTTACATAGATAAACCTAATTAAACCATTGAATAAAAAAAACAAATAGCAGTTGAAAAGAAAAAAACAACAATATTTGTTGATACATAGATAAACCTAATTAAATAATAAAATCAATAAAAGCAAACAACAATTAAAAGCATACATTAGGACTCAGTCCATTTTAACTGAAAACCTTAAAAAATAGCAACAATTCTAAAGACCTCTCCAAATAGAACAGTATGAATACACCACCCCCACGACCACCCAATAAAATCTGGAAGAAAACAAGCCAATGTGGGGGCATG